GAGAGGGACTACCAGGGACTACCCACATTGTAAAACATGAAAACACAACCTACATTGTAAAACATGAAAACACAACCCACTTTGTAAAACATGAAAACACAACCCACTTTGTAAAACATGAAAACACAACCTACATTGTAAAATATGAAAACACAACCTACATTGTAAAATATGAAAACACAACCCGCATTGTTAAACATGAAACCACAACCCGCATTGTAAAACATGAAAACACAACCCGCATTGTAAAACATGAAAACACAACCCGCATTGTAAAACATGAAAACACAACCCGCATTGTAAAACATAAAAACACAACCCACATTGTAAAACATGAAAACACAACCCACATTGTAAAACATGAAAACACAACCCACATTGTAAAACATGAAAACACAACCCACATTGTAAAACATGAAAACACAACCCACATTGTAAAACATGAAAACACAACCCACATTGTAAAACATGAAAACACAACCCACATTGTAAAACATGAAAACACAAACAATGAAACCAGCTTTGTGAGCATTTATTGTCCAGGACACATTTTTATCTGGTCTCCAGGTCAGGAAGCCACTGTGTCAATGTTGTCTGGTTGGTCTCCAGTCCAAGAAGCCACTGTGTCAATGTTGTCTGGTTGGTCTCCAGTCCAAGAAGCCACTGTGTCAATGTTGTCTGGTTGGTCTCCAGTCTAAGAAGCCACTGTGTCAATGTTGTCTAGTCTGTCTCCAGTCCAAGAAGCCACTGTGTCAATGTTTTCTAGTCTGTCTCCAGTCCAAGAAGCCACTGTGTCAAAGTTTTCTGGTTGGTCTCCAGTCTAACAAGCCACTGTGTCAATGTTGTCTGGTTGGTCTCCAGTCCAAGAAGCCACTGTGTCAATGTTGTCTGGTTGATCTCCAGTCTAGCAAGCCACTGTGTCAATGTTGTCTGGTTGGTCTCCAGTCTAAGAAGCCACTGTGTCAATGTTGTCTGATCTGTCTCCAGTCTAAGAAGCCACTGTGTCAATGTTGTTTGTTTGGTCTCCAGTCTAAGAAGCCGCTCTACCAATGTTGTCTAGTCTGTCTCCAGTCCAAGAAGCCACTGTGTCAATGTTGTCTAGTCTGTCTCCAGTCCAAGAAGCCACTGTGTGTTTCAATGTTTTCTAGTCTGTCTCCAGTCCAAGAAGCCACTGTGTCAATGTTGTCTGGTTGGTCTCCAGTCCAAGAAGCCACTGTGTTTGTCAATGCTGTGTGAATCACAAATAAGTTATACAAATAAACAATGGAATATTGCAACAAAAAAACTGATCAAACAAGAGCAGCATGTCAAACAAGAGCAGCATGTCAAACAAGAGCAGCATGTCATGAAATGCCCAATTGTGTACACAAACATCAGCAAATGAATTCTTAGTTTTCTATCCAATTCATGTAGAAAATGACTTTGATGAAACGTTGTTGCTAGTTTGTGCATAGACAGATGTTGTGTAAGGTTTGTGCTTAATACATTTCTGCCAACCGAGTAGACTTGTCTGTCTCTAAAAAGTCTGGCTAAGTACATTCTGGCAAATTGTGGGATAGTAAAACAAATAGAAACATGAACAGAGAAAGTGGGTGTTTGCAACGTTTGACAGAAACCCAGAAGAACAAATAAAGACATGGACAGAGAAAGTGGGTGTTTGCAACGTTTGACAGAAACCCAGATCAACAAATAAAAACATGGACAGAGAAAGTGGGTGTTTGCAACATTTGACAGAAACCCAGAAGAACAAATAAAGACATGGACAGAGAAAGTGGGTGTTTGCAACGTTTGACAGAAACCCAGATCAACAAATAAAAACATGGACAGAGAAAGTGGGTGTTTGCAACGTTTGACAGAAACCCAGATCAACAAATAAAAACATGGACAGAGAAAGTGGGTGTTTGCAATGTTTAACAGAAACCCAGAAGAACAAATAAAGACATGGACAGAGAAAGTGGGTGTTTGCAACGTTTGACAGAAACCCAGAACAACAAATAACAATCTTAAAGACAGCAGAAAGAAACAAGATTTAATTCTGGTATGAAACAAGAAGCTAAAACTGGAAATAAATTGTATGACTGATAACACTGCTAGCCAACAAGTGAAAGGAATTGTGAACACATCTGGAATGCACACTGCAGAGGTCATCTTCTTCGATCCTTCTGTCAGAGAACTCATATCAGGAGGCCGGTAGCCTTTAGAAAGCTACTGTGCAGTCCAAATCTCCCTGTGTGCCACACAGCGTCCCATATCATCTGCACAACCAGGGCTGACCCAACAGGACTCCGCACTAGCGAACACTTGTTGCTGACTCTCAAACTGGCTACTCTTTGTCTGATATCTGCCTGTATTTTGACACCGAATGTGCAGTCTGCTCTTTCACGCTCCTAATTCTGCTTTTTCTTCTTTGCTTGAAATAGATTATCTATATCGGCAATGTTGTCTCTAGTATGAACTTTACTGTCTTTTGTAATTCACGCAGGGACCTGTAAGATGTTTCTCTTGTTTTGCCTTGATATGTTGTATTTGGGACAGTCTTGAAAGACATGATCTGTTGTCTCAGGTGCTAATGCACATGGCTGATTCGCCGATTTGAAATTTTGTGTACGTGTGGCTGCGAAGTTGATTGTGTCCTGCTCCAAGGCATAGAATAACGAATCGCTCTGGTCTGTCCAAAATATGGTAATTATCTTGTGCCAGTTTTGGTGGCTTTCTGATTGATTTGATTATTCTCTTCTTCTGTTGATAAGAGACTGGTACGTCAGGTTGTTCTTTATTTAGCACCTTCCTTAGCTAGTTTATCAGCTCTTTCATTTCCAGGAACTCCACACGGGGATGGTATCCACTGCACAGTTACCTGACACCAGTCGCCAAGTTTGGAGAGTAATGTTTGTAAACTGCTTTTTGAAACAAATTAACTGCCATGTAGTTACACTTCCAGCACAGGTGTCATTGCTTCTTTGATGGCCAACAGATCTGACTGACCACCCACAGATCTGACTGACTGACCACCCACAGATCTGACTGACTGACCACCCACAGATCTGACTGACTGACCACCCACGGATCTGACTGACCACCCACAGATCTGACTGACTGACCACCCACAGATCTGACTGACTGACCACCCACAGATCTGACTGATCAACACAGATCTGACTGACCACCCACAGATCTGACTGATCACCCACAGATCTGACTGACCGCTCACAGATCTGACTGATTAAACTGTCATTCACAAGCAGTCTGTAGAGGAACAGTTGTTCCAGTGACCAGATGCACTTCAGACAGGGACATGACAGTCACCGCTGGTCAAGCCTAGTGAGACCACTTGACAAGGTTTATTACCACAAGTACAAATAGTCAATTCAAGAAATCGATTGACACCATGAACTATACTGGATATATGATGCTAACCACAAATTTATTACATACTAATGAACACTGGGTAGATTTTCTTCTCTTGTCCTGGTTGCTATTTCAGGCTGGGCCAACCTGGTAGCCCAGATCCTGGAGAAAACAAATCTCCCTGTCAGCAGTTTATTATTCCTCATGTGAAAACATTAATCCTGATGCGAACAATAATTAATCCTGATGTAGACAATAATTAATCCTGATGTGAACAATAATTAATCCTGATGTGAACAATAATTAATCCTGATGTAGACAATAATTAATCCTAATGTGAACAATAATTAATCCTGATGTGAACAATAATTAATCCTGGTGTAGACAATAATTAATCCTGATGTAGACAATAATTAATCCTGATGTGAACAATAATTACTCCTGATGTAGACAATAATTAATCCTGATGTAGACAATAATTAATCCTGATGTGAACAATAATTAATCCTGATGTAGACAATAATTCATCCTGATGTAGACAATAATTCATCCTGATGTGAACGATCATTACATTAGATGTAGGCAATCATTTATCATGGTGTTCAATCAACTCTCCTGATTATATGGCCAAAATATTTCAGTTTCTGAGATAGGATGCTGTTTATTAGCCAATCTTCCTTGATGATAAGATCTTTTGAAATGTCAGTATTTCTTCTCTTCTTTATCCATGGTATTCTCAGAATCTTTCTACAGCATTTCAGCTCAAAAGCCCCTATTTTTTCCAAAAGGACTGACAGTTTATCAGATTGGCATAAAGCAATTTACATTCATAAACATTTACATCATCACTTTTGTAGATTTGCTCATAAACATTTACATCATCACTTTTGTAGATTTGCTCATAAACATTTACATCATCACTTTTGTAGATTTGCTCATAAACATTTACATCATCACTTTTGTAGATTTGCTCATAAACATTTACATCATCACTTTTGTAGATTTGCTCATAAACTTTGCAGGTAAGGTTATCCACAGAACTGGGGCCTAGTCAGTCTCAGAATAACTGTGTAGAATCAATGATGACTGTAAGCTCATTTGATTGTAAGCTTATATGACTGTAAGCTGATATGATTGTAAGCTTATATGACTGTAAGCTGATATGATTGTAAGCTTATATGACTGTAAGCTGATATGATTGTAAGCTTATATGACTGTAAGCTCATATGATTGTAAGCTCATATGATTGTAAGCTCATATGATTATAAGCTTAGATGATTGTAAGCACAGACGATTGTAAGCTTAGGTGATTGTAAGCCCAGATGACTGTGAGCCCACAGATGTTGCAGTTTCCTGCATGGAACTGAAACTCTCCTCTGGTGGCCTATGGGGGAGCCTGGTCCACTTGAGAAGAAATATGTGTGCCAGGCAAGAGATACTTAGTTAAAACTGGACAAAGCTCCAGTTACAGGGATGTCAGTGGCGGGGATGTCAGTGACAGGGATGTCAGTGACGGGAATGTCAGTGGCGGGGATGTCAGTGGCGGGGATGTCAGTGTCGGGGATGTCAGTGGCGGGGATGTTAGTGACGGGGATGTCAGTGATGGGGATGTCAGTGACGGGGATGTCAGTGATGGGGAGTCAGTGACGGGGATGTCAGTGATGGGGATGTCAGTGACGGGGATGTCAGTGACGGGGATTTCAGTGATAAGGATGTCAGTGACGGGGATGTCAGTGATGGGGATGTCAGTGGCGGGGATGTCGGTGACGGGGATGTCGGTGACGGGGATGTCGGTGGCAGGGATGTCGGTGACGGGGATGTCGGTGACGTCGGTGACGGGGATGTCAGTGATGGGGATGTCGGTGACGGGGATGTCGGTGGCAGGGATGTCAGTGGCGGGGATGTCAGTGATGGGGATGTCAGTGACGGGGATGTCGGTGACGGGGATGTCAGTGACGGGGATGTCAGTGACGGGGATGTCGGTGACAAGGATAAATGTGTTTCCTGCATTGTTACTGTAACAAACAATGCAAACGATGCAGCAAGGCATACATTGGGGAGACTGGCAGGAAGCTAGCTGATCGTTTTCGGGAACACCTCTCCGATATTGACAAGAAGACACTCAAACCAATCCCTCTCCATTTTAATAGCCCTGACCACAGAGGTAAAGATGATACATCTGTCACAGCTTTAAAATCTTGCTCTGGCGATCATTCTACCCACCTCGCTTTGGAAAATCGCCTTATCCACAGCCTTGGCGTTCTTAGTCCAAGCGGTATCAATATTCAACATACCTTCATCTAAATAGTTAGAATCTTATCACATTTTAAATGTTAATTATTTTATTTTATTTCATATTATTACTTTATTCTATTTCTTATCAGTATCATTTATGTATCATTAACATTTGTATTTCTTTTATTCCCAGTATTATATTATATATTAAAAATACTACTGTTTTTTGTGTGTGACTATATTTTTTAGCCATTGTTTATTTTATTTCATTTATTCCGCATCATATTTTTTAAAATGTCGCTCACGTCACCCCTTAGAGATCTACATACTCTCCATTCCTCGTTTGTGTAGTTTTGTGCACGTTTTCCTCTTTCCCATTTTGTTGAGCTTTTTAGTCCAATTTCTCTGGAATTACTGTAACAACCTGAGTTGTGTAACAAGAATGGGTTGCTTGAGTGACATCTCACTGACCAACTCTTGAGACTCACACGACAATCAAAAGAACAATTTAAAAATACCAAAAAATATAAATAAATCATCGAAAACTGAGGAAAGATTGATATATGAATGATGACAATTAGAAATGAATCAATCATCAAAAACTGAGGAAAGATTGATATATGAATGATGACAATTAGAAATGAATCAATCATCAAAAACTGAGGAAAGATTGATATATGAATGATGACAATTAGAAATGAATCAATCATCAAAAACTGAGGAAAGATTGATATATGAATGATGACAATTAGAAATGAATCAATCATCAAAAACTGAGGAAAGATTGATATATGAATGATGACAATTAGAAATGAATCAATTATCAAAAAACTGAGGAAAGATTGATATATGAATGATGACAATTAGAAATGAATCAATCATCAAAAACTGAGGGGAAAGATTGATATATGAATGATGACAATTAGAAATGAATCAATTATCAAAAACTGAGGAAAGATTGATATATGAATGATGACAATTAGAAATGAATCAATTATCAAAAACTGAGGAAAGATTGATATATGAATGATGACAATTAGAAATGAATCAATTATCAAAAACTGAGGAAAGATTGGTATATGAATGATGACAATTAGAAATGAATCAATTATCAAAAACTGAGGAAAGATTGGTATATGAATGATGACAATTAGAAATGAATTAATCATATCAATGTATGAAAACAAACACAGTTCTGAGTCAGCTAAGAGGACATGGAAACTATTTACAAATGTAAATGAAATACTCAGTGAAACAAAAACATGTCTAAATCTGTTACCGATGTGAACAAAGCAACGAATCAAATAAGAACAACAACAACAAAAAAAAATCTCAGTAAAATGATCAAATATCTATGTTACACACATAAATGATGCAATACTTACACTAAGAAAACTCACCAACTATTTACAACCATACAGTGAGTGCAACATAACAGACAGAAACTGAAAACTTGCCAACTATTTACAACCATACAGTAATTGCAACATAACAGACAGAAATTGAAAACTTGTCAACTATTTACAACCATCAAGTGAGTGAAACACGACAGACAGAAACTGAAAGCAAGCGTGGCATTAAACAATTTACATATGTACAAGCAGTGATCACATGCATACATTAATATACACATCTATGGAAAAAAAACACACACAAATATGAACATAAATATGCACATCTATGGAAAAAAACAACACACAAATATGAACATAAATATGCACTTGTGTAGATAAACAAGTTATGTAAAAACAAATGTGCTCATATAAACTTAATGTGCTCAAATAAACAAACATTGACTGTATTTTAATAAATACAACATACAAGGATCATGACATAAAATTTGGTTATTCATGAAGAAAAACTGAGTGACATTTGAAATAAGAACTTGGGTGTGACAGGGATACCTTTTGTTACTGTCTATGAACTGGAGAAATAATTACCACACGAATGGACCTGAAAACACTCACAGCCACACACACACACACATGTATAATTAATATAAATAAATGTTTACATTTACACGTTAAAGTGAGTTGACATTTTAATTTGACTAAAGCAACAAAAACAAAAAAATTATTTCAAATTAAACCAGAGATTTAAAATTGACCTGTCTTCTGCTGTGGTTAGTCAGGGTTCAGAGGTCACAAGCTGTGTCGTCACAGATGACATTGAAGGTCAACTGCCAGCTTCCTGTTGCCAGAGACAATGACAGTTACAGAAGCAAGGATCCCCCGTGTGGGTTCCGGGGGCCCCATTGTAGGGGAAAACAAGAATAGACCCACTGCCTACCCAAAAGCATGTCGTAAGAGTCGACTAATTGGGGAGCTTCCTTTGAAGTTGGAGTGCATCTGCCGGAGAGGCAAGGAACCAACAGTCTGTATTCAAGAGAATGAGATCTGTAAAACTGATGCACACGCAACACTCAGGTTCTGGAGCAGGACTGCAGTTCAGTAGTGGACGAACAACCAGAACTTTTCGCCAGAGTGTACAACTGGTGAACGTGAAGAAGAAGGAGAAGCAAGGATGTGAACACCAGACATGACACAGCACTTACAACAGGTTTATAAGTGATCAGTCTACCTCAGCAGATTTCCTCACTCACTTACAGTCGCCCTGTGACTTTCAACATTCAGACCCCTTCATAAGCTCTAGGAAGAATGATTGCACACAGACACAGACATCAGCAATAGTCTTAGTCTTTGCTGAGGTTTGAACATTACTGCAATCGGGTTTTTCCATACCTGCTCTATTCCTGTACCAGTGAACATCACTGCAATCATGTGATGACCCCAAGTGTACACTAAATTCTGATGATCACAAGTGTTAGCTAAACTATGATGAACCCAAGTGTCGGCTAAACTATGATGACAAGTGTCGGCTAAACTATGATGAACCCAAGTGTCGGCTAAACTATGATGAACCCAAGTGTTGGCTAAACTATGATAACAAGTGTTGGCTAAACTATGATGACAAGTGTCAGCTAAACTATGATAACAAGTGTCGGCTAAACTATGATAACAAGTGTCGGCTAAACTATGATGACAAGTGTCAGCTAAACTATGATGACAAGTGTCAGCTAAACTATGATGACAAGTGTCAGCTAAACTATGATGACAAGTGTCGGCTAAACTATGATGACAAGTGTCAGCTAAACTATGATGACAAGTGTCAGCTAAACTATGATGACAAGTGTCAGCTAAACTATGATGACAAGTGTCGGCTAAACTATGATGACAAGTGTCAGCTAAACTATGATGACAAGTGTCAGCTAAACTATGATGACAAGTGTCAGCTAAACTATGATGACAAGTGTCAGCTAAACTATGATAACAAGTGTCGGCTAAACTATGATAACAAGTGTCAGCTAAACTATGATAACAAGTGTCGGCTAAACTATGATAACAAGTGTCGGCTAAACTATGATAACAAGTGTCGGCTAAACTATGATAACAAGTGTCGGCTAAACTATGATAACAAGTGTCGGCTAAACTATGATAACAAGTGTCGGCTAAACTATGATGACAAGTGTCAGCTAAACTATGATGACAAGTGTCAGCTAAACTATGATGACAAGTGTCAGCTAAACTATGATGACAAGTGTCAGCTAAACTATGATGACAAGTGTCAGCTAAACTATGATAACAAGTGTCGGCTAAACTATGATGACAAGTGTCGGCTAAACTATGATGACAAGTGTCAGCTAAACTATGATGACAAGTGCCAGCTAAACTATGATGACAAGTGTCAGCTAAACTATGATGACAAGTGTCGGCTAAACTATGATGACAAGTGTCAGCTAAACTATGATGACAAGTGTCAGCTAAACTATGATGGACAAGTGTCAGCTAAAAACTATGATGACAAGTGTCGGCTAAAACTATGATGACAAGTGTCAGCTAAACTATGATGACAAGTGTCAGCTAAACTATGATGACAAGTGTCAGCTAAACTATGATAACAAGTGTCGGCTAAACTATGATAACAAGTGTCAGCTAAACTATGATGACAAGTGTCAGCTAAACTATGATAACAAGTGTCGGCTAAACTATGATAACAAGTGTCGGCTAAACTATGATAACAAGTGTCGGCTAAACTATGATGACAAGTGTCAGCTAAACTATGATAACAAGTGTCGGCTAAACTATGATAACAAGTGTCAGCTAAACTATGATGACAAGTGTCAGCTAAACTATGATAACAAGTGTCGGCTAAACTATGATAACAAGTGTCGGCTAAACTATGATAACAAGTGTCGGCTAAACTATGATAACAAGTGTCGCCTAAACTATGATAACAAGTGTCGGCTAAACTATGATGACAAGTGTCAGCTAAACTATGATGACAAGTGTCGGCTAAACTATGATAACAAGTGTCGGCTAAACTATGATGACAAGTGTCAGCTAAACTATGATGACAAGTGTCAGCTAAACTATGATGACAAGTGTCGGCTAAACTATGATGACCCCAAGTGTTGGCTAAACTATGATGAACCCAAGTGTTGGCTAAACTATGATGAACCCAAGTGTCGGCTAAACTATGATGACAAGTGTCAGCTAAACTATGATAACCCCTAGTGTCGGCTAAACTATGATGACCCCAAGTGTTGGCTAAACTATGATGAACCCAAGTGTCGGCTAAACTATGATGACAAGTGTCAGCTAAACTATGATAACCCCTAGTGTCAGCTAAACTATGATGAACCCAAGTGTCGGCTAAATTATGATGACAAGTGTCAGCTAAACTATGATGAACCCAAGTGTCGGCTAAATTATGATGACAAGTGTCA